CCCCCCCCCCCCCCCGGTATGGGATATTTTTAGTTTGTAAAGTAAAACTTTTGATCTCCAAAGTGCTTACAAAAATTTCGTCAGTGCTTACGTTATCCAAAAACACCTTAAGGCCTACGAAATGGGTAGGGAAATGAGGCTAAAATGCTTTTTTGAATACCGTTCTAATCAGTCTGCAAATCTTATGAATACTTCTTTCGAGAGAACTACTTGGTGCCCTCATTTCCTTTTCTTAAAGCATTTTTCGTCCCATCGTGTGTGCACGCTGCTGCCCTTTCTCAGGGAAGCTCCTTTGGCTTCAGGGGGAGGTGTGAACCTGTGTACACACGTGGTACCATAAAACAAAGTTCGACTTGAGTGTGGGACCGGAAGCTCAGCCCCAGCTATATTCTACTTCAGGTGGAGAGTCTGTCCTCACTTTTGTGTCACCCCCTCTTCTCTTTTTTTAGAAAGATCAACTGAAATTGGCAAACTTCTGAGTTCCTACTTGGAAAAGAAGAGCGAGGTGGAAGATCACTCGGTGCACCTGCTTTTCTCCGCGAACCGCTGGGAGCAAGTGTAAAAACAACCTTTGTGCCGCCCCTTCCTGGTGTGGTTCTTCCTTATTGAGCCTGGGTGAACGGCAGCTCTTGATTCTGAAGGGTGTTGGCAGGAACGCCAGTAATGACACTTTTAAAAGTGTCAGGCTCGTCCCCCGTGACCCGAGGTCTTAGAGCTCCATAGTTCCCAAAGAGCACTGATTAGTGCTTTTCCTTCCTCCTGCCCTGCCACCTTTCTGTTATTAATAGACATTATTTAGGGTAGGTTTAGGTATACAGAAAAGCTGGTGAAAAGGTCAGTTCCTCCATACCCCTGTCCCTACCCCCTCCTCCATTTCTCACGTTATTGGTTAGATCAGCGAGTTAACGTTACAGTGGGTGAACTGATGTTGACACATTAGTAACTGAAGTTCACAGTTTACCTTCTCCCGCCCCTTTTGTTTTGCCTCCTCTTACTCAGCCTCTTCCCTCAACATGTAACTTTTACACAGTGCCTGTGGGGTATGCTTTTAGGTGCTTTTGTTTCCATTTACATACACCTGTGTTGTTGGGCTTGTTTTGTTTTCTAACATAAATAAATGGGATCCTCCCATACAAACCGCCTCCTAACTTGCTTCCTAATTCTGGCCTGCAGAGCTCTGACTTCCCTGTCGCTCTGGGGAGCTTTTCAGAAAGGCTACTCCACAGTAGATGCAGCTAGATGCCTGCTGACGGCTTTGCGCTGTCCCCCCTTATGAGCAAGCCTACGCTGCTTTCTTCTGGATCACCTGTGTCTTATTTGGAAAGGTCTTCCCACTCCAAGTATTAGAAGAAAGTGAGATCATTTTTATAAACTTTAATACATCTGGAATTCATGGACATAATTGGTCTGACTTTGCTTTTTGTGGCTTTGTAGAAAAATAAGTCCACTTAGAAATGAAAAATAATGCTGACTCCACTTCCTAGTGAGTGATCTTGTCCCTGGCACACAGGTCTGCGTGTGGCACCACTCCTCCTTCAGGTCATTCCAGCCACTACCATTTGCTCAGTCAGATGTGAAAGTCCTTGGGTGACCGGTCAGATGCCGGGTTCACATCTGGCACCATTGCCCACCAGTTGTGTGACCTTGGTCCTGCGCAGCCCCTCTCAGCCACAGCTGCCTCATCAGCATCGTGGCCGTGGTGGCCCCTCTTGTAGATCCAGGTGAGGATCAAGTACAGCTGGGCGGCAGGCCTGGGAATGAGTGCCCGGTTAACCTGAGCTGTTCTGAAGCACTTCTGTGAAGAAACTGCTGATTTCCTCCAGCCCTTTAATTGTCCATCTTTTTGCTCTGCTTCTTAATGGACACAATTGCTGGTTCCCAGAGATACTTGTCTTCTGGCTTCTGTACAGTCCGGGGGCACAGACTGGGTGGCACTGCCCTCACAGAATGGGGGCAGCACCCTGCACTTCCTTCCCCGTCTCTTTGCCAAAACCCACCAGTCCTCCAGGGGCACCTTCCCACTCCATGCAGGAATTCATTCCTGGAAATTAGGGATTTCTTTTACTTCCCATAGCAATTTAGCCATTTTCTACTCCCTTCTGTGCCTGTCTACCTGAGATCTCAGGGCTGGGGGCTGACTAGCCATCATCCGGTCAAGGACACCCTTGGCCACCTGTCCATCCTCGTCCTCATCCTTCAGGCTCGAGGCCACAAGCGTCATCGTATCTCCTCCTGGCCTCATCTGCTCCTTTGCCCTCCTGGGTTCTTCTTTTCAGCAGGGCAGCCTGGCCCTTCTGCGCCCCCACCCAGACAGCCCCAAGCCTCCCTTTGCTCATCTGTCTTTGTCACTTGTGTCTGTGGTGCTTTAGTGGACTTGTCTTTTCTACATTGGGCTTTGCCGGGAACGCTCCTGTGGCATCTTCTAAAGAGAAGATCCAGGAGTGCCTGGGTGGCTCAGTCGGTTGGGCGACCAACTTCAGCTCAGGTCGTGATCTCATGGTCTATGGGTTCAAGCCCCGTGTCAGGCTCTGTGCTGACAGCTCAGAGCCTGGAGCCTGCTTCGGGTTCTGTGTCTCCCTCTCTCTCTTCTTCTCCCCCCTCTGTGTTCTATCAAAAATAAATAAACATGGGGCACCTGGGTGGCTCAGTCGGTTAAGCGTCTGACTTCGGCTCAGGTCTTGATCTCACGGTCCGTGAGTTCGAGCCCTGCGTCGGGCTCTGTGCTGACAGCTCGGAGCCTGGAGCCTGTTTCAGATTCTGTGTCTCCCTCTCTCTCTGCCCCTCCCCTGTTCATGCTCTGTCTCTCTCTGTCTCAAAAATAAATAAACGTTAAAAAAAATTTTTTTTAAGTAAATAAATAAACATAAAAGATTTTTTTTAAAGCGAAGATCCAGATCTTTTCTGAACAAAAATAAAGTTACAAATCACTGCCCAGTAATCCCTTCATTGCATGGGTTTCTGAACTGGTGAGTTATATTCTCTGGACCTGTGAAGCCAGGACCGTGGTTCAGAAGTACTCTGTTTTTTAGGCCATTAATTAAGAAGAAGTTGAGCCAAGGCATCACCCTCGTTGTTGACAGATACGCATTTTCTGGTGTCGCCTTCACCAGTGCCAAGGAGGTGAGTGTCTCCTGGCCCCCAGTGTGATCGTGGCAGGTACAGACTCCGTGTGTTCATAAAATGCTTTCTAGGACTGCTAGGGTCCCTCTCTTTGCTGGGTTAAGTGGCTCTTTATCGGGAGGAAGAGCACAGAGTCAGAACTCTGTGTTGCTCAGATAGCATATTAGCGCCTCCATTCCATGGTGGGTGTCTGGGTGTTTTCTATTAATTTTCCTCCCCACTGCCCCCCCCCCCCCCAGTGCCATGTACTTGTCATTCTACGGGGAGAACGGCAGTGACCATGCTGCCCGTTCGTTCTGCTTTTTATTTAGAAATGTTCACATAAGCACCAGCAGAGAAGACGATAACCAGCAGCACCATCGCCTGCCTCAGAACCTTCTGGTCTCTGAGCTGACCCACCGGGCACGTCACTAGCTCCATGGTGAACATTTCAGTTCACATCCCAAAATAACTTCTCACTAACATAATGTCGCCTTAGCAAAGAGGAGCCCTTTCCCGACGCCATCATTCAGTCACGTGCTCAGTCGCCAGTTCTTTCGGGAACTGCTTGATTGGTCTTGTGTTTTCACACATAGACTGAATCAGAATCCCTTTCAGGGCCGGACTTGAAGTGAGATCCCTTTGCTGTCTCAGACACACATTAGCTTGTTTTTCCCCCTTTGTTAGGAATTTTGAAACCAAAAATTCGACCCCGTCATGGCTTCTTTCTCTAACTGTTGGGTTCTCTGTTGCCAGAATTTTTCCCTGGACTGGTGCAAGCAGCCGGACGTGGGCCTCCCGAAGCCAGACCTCGTGGTGTTCCTTCAGTTACGGCTGGCAGAGGCCGCCACCCGGGGAGAGTTTGGCCGTGAACGCTATGAGAACGGGAACTTCCAGGAGCGGGCGCTGCGTCGCTTCCATCAGCTGATGGCGGATAAGACTCTGAACTGGAAGGTGAGGGTGTCTCCCGGTGTCGCCGCCAGAAAGCACCTCGGTCCTGCCGCTGAGCCGAGACACCTGGCGGGCCTGGGGCTCCTCCAGGGCTTCTGTGCACAGCAGACCCTGGTCCTTTGTGGGTTGTGCACAACTAGGGAATTTGGTGCCTGGCGGGTGAGTCGGGGAGAGTTTACTGGATGGCAGCTCCCAGAGTGCAGTCCCGTGTGGTCAGGGCTCCTCTGTTGGCATCATGCCACCCACAAGTCACACCTCGCTTCGCCTTGTTTTTTTTTTTTTATTCTGGGTTTTGTTTTAATTTTGTTTTTTAATGATTATTTTTGAGAGGGAGAGAGAGTGCACTCAGGGGAGAGGCAGAGAGAGAGGGAGACACAGAATCCGAAGCAGGCTCTAGGCTCTGAGCTGTCAGCACAGAGCCCGACGCGGGGCTCGAACTCACAAGCTATGAGATCGTGACCTGAGCCGAAGTCAGACGCTCAACTGACTTTGCGTTTATGCGATCTTTGCATTTATGCGTCTCTTCCTGCTTTTTGTTTGTTTGTTTAGATTCCACGTACACGTGAAATCATATGGTGTCTGTCTCTGGCTTACTTCACTTAGCCTGCCACCCCCTGGGCTCACCTGTGTCCCTGCATACGGCAGGAGCTCCTTCCGCCCTTCGGCTGAGCGATGTCCCACTGTGCGCGTACCGGTGACGTTCACCTCCAGGGTGCTTGCCGGGCCCCACTGCGAGGGGACTCTCCGTCTGTAACTAATGTGTGTTTTGTGATGAGATTCTACAAAACCACCAAAGAGTCTCATTGCTCATCACGTTTTCAGTTCACCTTTACGTCTATATCTGAACAGACCCATGTTTTCCTGCTTTACCACCAGCAGTCTGTTCCACCGAGGTCTGGCCCACGGGACCCCCCTCCCCACGGCTCCTGTTACACTTCTGCTTCCCAGCACGTGAACATTTTTTGGATTTGTCCTATATTTTTCCAGCCCAGCTCTAGAATCGGTTGCCTCCCCAGGTGTCCCTGGTTGCTTTTTGTGGCGAAAGGTATTTCTAGATCCGTGGCCAGGGACCCAGGGCGCTTGTTGATGCTGTGCTGTCTGTTCCCAGGCCCTCAGAGGACTAGAGATGTAGAAGTTTCTGTGTGATATGCCATGTGTGAGTTTATACAGTGTGTGTATGTGTGTGTGTGTGGTACACGTGTGTGGTTTTCCCGTGTGTGTTTATACATGTGTGGTACGCCTGTGTGTGTTTACATGTATGGGGGGGGTACACCTGTGTGCGAGCTCATACGTGTGTGAGACATGCCCGTATGCCAGTTCACACCTGGCATGCAGGGTGCAGAATGCAGTCTGGAAGGCCTTCAGGAGGGTGTCACCGGTGTGGGCTCTCGGGCTGTGTAGGAGGTCATTCCGACTCCTGCAACCAGACCTCACGAAATCGTTCCACAGCCGAGTGGGTCTGTGCTCCCAGGAGCCCGGCTGTGTCAGGACAAAACCGTCTCCCCAGGCCTGACTTCTTGCAGAACTTGCCCGAGTTCTGCTCAGCGACCCGGCAGGGCTGCGGCCGGGCGGGCCCTGCAATCCCTGCACGTGCTCTGAGCTGGACTGGTCGGGGTGGGGAGGCGAGGGGAGGGGGCTGATGGGGAGCAGGACTGGGTGTTTCTCCTGTGTCGGGGCCACGGGAGGAGTGCGGGACGCCTTGGTCCTCAGGACACGAGCAAAGCCATGACCAGAGGTCATAGGGGAGGGTGAGGGACCCCGGCGGCGTGGGGTGCCCCTCCGGAGCCCAGCCCCGCCTGGAGTCCCCACGCGCAGCGAGAACGGCGAGAAGCATTAACCGTCCTCTCTCTCCCTGCCTCCCCTGTGGGAACAGATGGTCGACGCCTCCAAAAGCATCGAAGATGTCCACAAGGAGATCCACGCCCTCTCCGTGGACACCATCCGGGCCGTCACGCAGAGGCCGCTGGGGGAGCTGTGGAAGTAGACGCGCAGCACCCCTCGTCGGTGGCCCCTCGGGGCGGAGCTGCTGGGGAGGTGGGCGACCCGACGCCGTGCGCATGTGTGGACCAGCGCCGGCAGCCGCAGGCCAGCCCGTCGTGAGGTGGCGGGGCGCGGAGACCCCGTGCGCGCAGTCTTCCTCCGCCCGCTTTTACCCCGAGATCCCGGTAAATTACTGTTTTCTCTTCCGGAGGGACCGCATCCGCGCGGTTTCATTGAAACGGCAGTCAGCTGAAACTCTCCTGAATCTTTTCTAGGAACTAATAAAAATGATTTGGGGAACCTCCTGCGGGGCAGTCGTCTCCTTAGCAGCCGTGGGCGTGAGGGAGAGGCAGTCGTAGCGGGCCAGCCCCGGCCGGGCCTTCGGGATTCCTGCCCGGCGTTGCCGGCAGCCGCCGCTGGGCCCCGAGCACCTGCGTGCCGGCCCGTCGTAAGCTGCTGTGCGTGGTCTGAGGGCACGAAGAGAATCGGGGCTGAGGGCAGTGCAGCGGGGGCCCCCCATCCAGAGGGACTGCGGCCGAGGTGTGGTATCTGGGTGACCACTACGTTGTAAGAGGTGACAAGAGGAGCCTGGGCAGCACCTGGCGGTGGCCTCAAGGGTCCTGCGCAGCGGCAGCGCCCAGGGCCACACTTGCCTGTGCTGGGCAGGGTCGTGCTTGTCTGGGTTCTTGTCTGTGGTCACCGGGCCGGGAGCGCAGGCCCGGACGTGCCCAAGGTAGCCCGGCCCTGCGTCCTGGTCCTCAGGGGGCATCTCAGAGGGGACGGAGGAAATGATGGGTTCTGTGTCCTTTGGTTGCTGAGGGGCCTGGGGACAGCACGGTGTCAGCCTCAGGCCTCTGTCCATCAGAAGGTGCTGGTTCTGTCCACTCAGACCGCGCCGCACCCTTGAGGTCACCATTGGGTAACAAGAGCTGTCGGGAACAGGGATAGACTGTGGAGTGCCGGGTGTCCCCCCGCGCCCCCCAGTGGTGGCCTGGCCTCACCATCGTTAGCTGCCTTTGTGCTCTTTGACAGAATCGAGGCCTCATGCCCTGTGATGAAAACAGTCGCTGCCCCCCCCAACTGGGGGCCCCTGGGTGGTCAGTCCGTTGAGCATCCAACTCTTGGTTTTGGCCATCATCGCACAGTTGGTGGGATCGAGCCCTGTGTTGGGCTCTGTGCTGACAGCATGGAGCCTGCTTGGGATTCCCTCTCTCTCCCTCTCTCTCCCTCTCCCTCTCCGCCCCTCCCCAACTTGCTTGCACATGCACACTCTCTCTCAAAATAAGTAATAGTAGACTTAAGAAGCTCCCAAACCAGCATCCCATGTGCCTCCCGTTGTCATGGGGCAGGCCAGGGTGACTGACACCTAGTGAGAGGTGGGGGCTGTCGGACAGGCAGAGTGGGTGGTGGGTGGAGGCTGTGTCCGGAACACCCAGGCCACGATGGCGGCTGAGGGGACCTCTCAGCTGCGGACAGCTGCACCCCAGGCTAGAACTCGAGCCGTGGGGAGCCACCTGCTCGGCACCGGGCCGTGGTGGGGTTGGAGGTGGACAGGAATTCGGGAAGAGAAGGGCTGGAGTGGAGGCAGAAATGGTCTGACAGATTCCAACTTTCTCCAGGAAATACGGTGGGTCTTCAAACATCTGGCCAGGTGGCAGGGGCAGGCCTGACCAAGGAGGGGTGGGGGGGGGGCGGCCACAGGATCCAGAGCACCCTTCTCTCCGGTGGTTTCCGGTCTCTCCCTAAAGACGACTGTCAGGCGCTGGGTGGGGCACCCGCATGGCAAGGGGACCGGAGAAAGCCCACGGTGCAGTCACAGGGTCTCTGGTGGGGAGGCGGCAGTCCTGGTCAGGGGAGTGGGCGGCAGCAGGAGGGCTCAGAGGGCGCTCCCTCGCTGGCACTCAGGGTGGAGGGAGGGCCCCACCCCGGGGAGCACAGGTGGCTTCTGGGAGACGGGAGGAGGTGGGCCAGCATGGGCCCGGGCCTCCAGCCAGAAGCAGCCTTGCAGAAGCCTCCTCAGGGCCCCTGGGAAGAAGGTGGCTGCTGCTTCGACTGTTCCAGCTCAAGCTACTCTGGGTGTCCCCTAGAAGCCGTGGCGCAGGCTCCCGGACTTCCTCACCTGGGGAGCTTTTGTCTGCCTTCGTCCCCTGGCAGCTGCCGTGGATGGCAGATGGGGGCGCTGTGTGACTCGTGCCGAGGTGACCGGACGAGGCCAGTGGGCTCAGCCCACCTGGAAGGACACTGCTTTCAGAAATCAAACCAAGGATGGGGTGCCTGGGTGGCTCAGTCGGTTAAGCGGCCGACTTCGGCTCAGGTCATGATCTTGCATTGCCGTTTTTGAGTTCAAGCCCCACATCAGGCTCTGTGCTGACAGCTCAGAGCCTGGAGCTGCTTCAGAGTCTGTGTCTCCGTCTCTCTCTGCTCCTCCCCCACTCACACTGTCTCTCTCTCAAAAATAAACATTAAGAATCAAACCAAGGCTAACACCACGCGCGAGACACTCTCCACAGCCTCTCTTGTCGAAGGAGGAGTCGCTGTGCGTCGTCCTAAAATCGAGTTCCTTGTCTTTCACTCTGGGGACCACGAGGCCAAGGGCAGCATCACAGCCCACGAGCTGGCGGGGGCAGGACGGGCTCCTCGTGCGCCGCTCTGGGGACGAGAGCTGCCCACACCTGCCGGCTACCAGAGCCCCACCCCGAGGATTTTTCTGTGGCATTGTGAGCCCAGGAAATGCTCTCATCACAGCACCTAGACCTCCAGTAGAAATCAAGACACAGACAACAAAGTGTTTTCTACTGAAACGGTTATTATTTGCCATTAAGAATTGCAAACTACGCTACGAGGAATGAACATTTTCTTCAGTAAGCCTTTTTCAAAACACACGAAACAAAGCTCCCCGTGGGTCAGGCCATCGCCCGCGCCCCCGGTTCGTACCGACGGCAGGGCTGCGGCAGCGCCCCGCGCCCCCAGCCCGTGGCAGCGGCAGCACATGTGTGGTCCAGAGGGTTGCAGCCAGCCCTCCCGGCTCCCCAGGCTCTACCTCACGGATGGGGCGCAGGACAGACGGCCCACACGAGCAGGGACACGGAGCCCTGGCGACACGTCCTGGCAAGCCCCGGCGGGCCCGGCGCAGTCTGGGCCTGGAACACGGGGGCTGAAGGCTGCAGGTGCTGACGTTAGAGCCGAGAAGGGTCTGGAGACGTCTCCAACTGGTGCAGAAGGATGGGACGCCAGTCTCGCACCATCAAGCCTTAGGCTTTACCCTCTGGCCCCAAACCACCTAAAACCTCACCACGAGGCAACCCCGAGAAGGACAGGGAGCCGGAGGAAGGGCCTGGGGGCCCCAGGGCAGCCCCCTCCCCCCCCCCCCCCCGACCCAGATCCGACCCAGGGGAAGCCGGCGACGGGAAAGCAGCAGCACGGCGGGGGGGGAGGGGGAGTGTCTTCGACGCCAGGACCCACAGAGGAGACGTGAGGAAGGCACGCCCCACTCGGGCGTGACCTGCAGCTCCGAGGCGTGTCCCTGTCCTAGCGAGTCACATGCACGGTGACATCTTTGGATTTCCACCACGCCCCACCACTCTGCTACTTTTCCTCCCAAATCAAGGAGAAGCCTTGCCGTTGACTCTTCCGGCCCGGTTTCCCCCCGAGGTAGCCCTTGAGAAAGCACGGTGGCAGGGCGGAGGCCGCGGAGCAGGCAGGGGCCGAGGCTGAGTCCACAGGCGTCCCGCCACACACACCTGCCCTGCAGGTCTTCCGAGGCGTACAGGACAGAAATTCACGTCCTTGTGACTTCAAACAGGATTTTAATTCCAAAGCAAACCCAGAACCGAGCGCCCAGGAGGAAGCAAGGCAGAGGCGACGCACCAGCGCGGGGCCGGCAGTGTGGCAGGGAGAGCTCTTGTGAGTGTGACGGGCCCTGCTCTCGGGGGCTCCCGGCCCGGCCGCGCTGGGCTTCCCTCGGTGGCTCCTGGCTTGCGCCTTGTCGCCCAGACAGACCCTCTGGGCCCGAGCAGCAGCAGGGCTCACGGGGGCGCTCCGTGTGAGGGCAGAGGCGGCACGGGGCGCGGGCGCTCAGCAGACGGGCAGGCTGGATGGATGAAATGCGGCGGCACCAAGCGCCCCAGGGCGGGTCTGGGTTCTCAAAGGTGCCCCCAGTGAGGGCCAGTGGAAACCGTCCCCCAGCTCCGGGATTTTCAAAGAGACAGGATTTCGAAGTCTTCATCTTCTGAGTCAAAGAATCTTTCTAGTCGCTCTACGTCAGAAGAATCTAGGAGAAACGAGCCAACGCCTCATCAGGTGCCTGGCGTGGGACACCTGGGGCGTGGGGACGAAGCGACCAGCGCCTGTGTGCGCACCGCCCGCCGCACCCTGCCTCTGGCCGGTTTGCCCTCGGTGCAGCAGGAGCCCAGAGGACACCGGGCCGCTGCGGGTCTTGGCCGGCCCGGAGCCTCAACAGGGGAGGGCGGGCCAGAAAGTCCCTGAGGCTCATCTGAG